ACCCTAGTGGTTGGCTTGAACAATACAACAGTCAGCAACAGTGTTGCACACCAAAGCATCCCCACACGCATTGTCTATCAAGGGTAAATGACATTTAAATAGATAAAGCTCTCTGTCACCTCCTCAGATATTCTGTGACCCACAGAATACAGTAACACAGGAGATCTTCATTTCCCAAGAACTGATTGAATCTTTCCCTGTTTTTGTATTAATTAAAATCATACCTTTTCGAATGGTTATTTACACAGATTCTTAATCAACTCGATTTGGCAATGTTACCTCATCTCAAATGTCAAATATTAAGCATGCAGCATTTTAATGAAATCACACTGCGTGATCTCAGTGTTTCATTATCCCAAGGAACAATACCATTCCAACAAGCGATAAATGCAGTACTTCTGCTCACTGTTTGAAATGGAAAAAAAAACTTGATTTATGCCCCCAGTGAGCAACTGGTGAAAACTTTGGATCTTACTTGTGTAACAGTACATAAATCTAAAACTAGTTGCCCCTCCAACAGTTTTCAGATCAGATTTGTGGCAGAACAACCAGAAATATTGCAATCAGATTACTTTCTCATATGATGCATTTTGGGGCTGGAACAAGTTACAGTCCTTTACCATGCTGTTGAAGCTGATATGGCTTCTTTAGAGAAATGGCTGAATGAGATGCTCCAATCAGGACAAGAGGCACTTCTTTACTTGAAGGGTGGTGGGAGTCTGGAACAGCCAGCCCAACCCAATACCCTGACTTCTTGCTGGGAAAGACTGAAAGGGATTCCTGGATCAATTAGCTTCTACCACATGGGCTTTAAAGGCTCCTCTCTTTTGTAAAATTGTAATAATCGTGTTGTTATTAAAAAATAAAATAACAACAAAACACATTAAAATAGTGTTAGTAATTCCCTTTACATGTAAAGATCTGTCTTAAGGCTTGTTAAAGGGGGATTATCTATTTACTTAGCAGAGGTTCTTTGGTATACCTGCTTAGGCAGGGCAAAGTACATGAAATTTACATTAATTGTTAGTACATGGAACCATCCTGCAGGTGTAATTAGGTAAACATAAATACATAGTTATAAGGCTGGCACACACTGTAAAACAAAACAAAATAAAAATTAAATACAGCAGTCAGGAATAAAACAGGAAAGAGATTGGTAATGCAAACACTCACTTTAGTACAGTATGTCTATTTTGAACAATTAGCAAGGTACAGCATCTGTATGAGAATTCCAAACAGTGTAAGAGATACTTAAAGATGAAGTTGAGAGCTGGGAGATGACAGGGCTTCTTCGCAACTGCACAGTACCGCATTCAGGAAGAAACAAAGAGGGAAAATCAGAAGCACTTGGAATCTGACTCAGTCAGGCCAATCCTACCACTTAAAAAAAAAACGTTTAAACATATGCAAAATGTCCATTCATGACTTCCATAAAATTCTCAAACATAAACTCCAAAGGTTTTGACTAGATAGAGGAAAGGAAGTCTATTGCACAGCCGCAGTTTGTTTCTGTATGGGATACAGCAATAAGAAAATTACATACTTATTTGAGGGGAACATCAAGTTTATTTGGTTAATGAATTATTTTACTTGCACAATTCTGGTGTTATACCTTAGTATAATCACTGTACACTCATTTAATTCAATCTGAACAGAAGCCAGCACAAGATCATTTGTTTTCAGTTTATTTAACTCAGTGTGTGTGGATTGCCCATGCTAATTTGAAGGGTAAACAGAACATTTCTCTCTCCTCCACTTAAACAGCAAATACAAAGGAAACAGTGATTTCTCCCAGTGTAGCTGCCTGATGATGGTGAAATAAATAAACCTCACTCTCTGCTACTGTGCACAGTGAGAGAAACAGAATGCATTTTAAGGTTCTCCTATGCTGATGAGACAGCTCACTTGCTGACATTGTTTCAAATTTTTCAAAAAGAAGATGATTACTAATCTAATAACATTAAGACCTTTGACATTAGAATCCTGCAGACGTTTCATTTTTAAACTTCTTTGATTCTGTCTCAGGGGGAAAACCGCCAATTCTGAATGCAGAACACACACAAGCACACGCCCACAGACCCATGCTCTCAAGAGGAGCTGATCTGCAAGGATTAACTTTTAAAATGAACAAATTCAGTACAAACCTTCCTTCAGCTCCCTGTCTCTAGAAAAGCACACCAACCAATCTAGGACCTTGATTACTTTTTGGCAGCTTGGCTTCTGTTCAGTCGAAAGAAATACATTTAGTATTACACCTGAACAACTTACTGGGGTTACTAAGTTTCTTGTCTGTAAAGTCAAGACTAAAAAGATCAATAGTGCAGTGTATGTTTTTAGATTTGCTACCAGTGGATCTTCATCTTCAATGACTCATGTAACAGTGGCAGGCTGGGCTGATTAACGTTACAGCATGTTCCAAGCTGAGAGGTGACTCGAACCACAGGACGGGAGGCTGGGTGAAGGCACACGCTCTTTGTGAGGAGGCCACTCAGTGGCAGCGAATGAGCGAACACTATTTGTTTCCATTTCTGGATGCCGGTTGCTTTCAGATCTCTGCAACAGTGATAAACCCAGAGGCAGGGGGCTGGTGGGCTTTGCCCCCGATAGAAAAGATGGAACCCCATGCTTTCAGCCCCCTGTGCACACACACACAGCTAGTCTGCAGTTATCGGACCACAGTAAAAATAAGCATAATACAAATGAGATAAGATAAGAGATAAGATCTTATAAAAATATAGAAATAAGCATAATACAATACATTACAATGATTCTTGGTCAGCTGGACTCTGACACACTTCCTGATGGCCGAGCTGAGCTGCCTAGCCTCTGTACCCGCTGTCTCCAGGATGATGCCTTTAGCCTGGGAAGCCCCACCGAAGGGGTTTGCCTTCAGGGTAGTGCTCAGGTGAGCCCTTTTGCACTGCTTATCGTGCCATTTCTGTGCATGGTGGTGTTTGCGCATCTTTCTGACTGTACGAAGACCACGACACTTGCCCATGTTTCTGGTCTCAGTGCCCTAGCAGGAAAGGCACTACAATACACGCATAAAAAAATAAGAGATAAAAATAAGCATAATACAAATATGGTAAAACGTTGTATTTCTGTGGTTTGCATGGACAGCGGAGCACAACTGCTCATGTCAAGGCTCGATATCCTAGATGGGACGCTGAATTACCCCTGAGCAAGGCACTTCACTCAGACTGCTCCAGTAAATGCCCTGCTCTTACACTCAGGTCTTCAGGCTACCAGTGTAAACAGGAATTTGTTCCCAATTGATTTTCCTGGTGAAATAAAAAATATATATGGATGTACCATGTGGCGTTTGGCCCAGTCTGCTCGACAAAGACTGAGCCCAAACTCACAAGGAATTAGCCCAGATAAACACATAGGATCTACACTTTTGTTCAAGCTACTGGGACCCAGAGAGTGGAACTCGCACATTGTTTCAGAGTATCTGTGTTATGCCAAGGTGCAGTACTATGATTTTGAAGAAGATTCCCAGTGTACGCAGTCTGTTTCTTGATGTTTCTGAATCATCTCGCGGCCCTGTACGCGTGGGGATACTAAATTCTTTAAAAAAAATTATTGGGTTTAACGATCCAGTAGGAGCAGCTCGTTTAAAAAAAAAAGGCACAGGAGTACTGTAGACGAGAAGTTTAAGAAAAAGTCTGTCAAACGACTTCTTCCATAATAGGTCATGACGAGCTGTGCGTTTCACTACAGAGGAATTCTTACCCATGCAGGTTTTATTTTGGTACAGACAGGTCTAAAAATGTGATATTCTCTGTGAGTTCAAATCTGGATTTGATTCCTACTTCGCCTTCCCTTCACACCCTCACAGCTTTGTGTGCGTTTGAAAGGTTTTGTAAAAATGACAAATACGAAAGACAGCAGAATGATGTGGAAACATGAACAGCAGTAATGTCACGCTACACGTTTGGGGAGTAGGACTGCAAGTGGGACTAAAAAGAAATGTCTTTGTAAAAAAAATACTTTTCGATGAGTTTGGATAACACATTTTGTGTTCACACAGTAGGTACAATCTCAGCCCGTGTTTTGGTCGTGTAGAATAAGTCCATAGGATCAGCGGATACACTGATAGAATTGTAGTCATCCGAAGTAAACCGCATCTGCATTATTTTGGTGTTGGGTCGTGAATTAAAAACATTAATACGCAAATCTGTGGTCACACTGAGGTGATCTGGACCAGATTCATAAAGCACTTGCCCACTTTAGCCAACTGCATCCCTCTAACGTCAGGTGCAGAAGGTGGGGAAAGGGTGTGTTGGGGGGTGCTTTCGGGAAAATAAATATTGATAAAACGTGCAAACGTCTCGGCTCCGGTGTGCCACTGTAGCAGGAGCGTGCGCCGGGGCGTGCCCGCGGGGCCGCGGGGCGTGGTGAGCGCGGCTCGGGGAGGGGCCCCGGCTGTTCTCGCGCTTTACTTATTCATTATTGTGGAGCAGGAACCGTGCCAGGAGCGCAGCGGAGCGCCTCTTCTCCAACTACAAGCTGTCACCACTGGATGGGAAGATTTCTGGACTTCTGCTTCTTACTTCTTTATTTTAAAAAAAAAAACTTTAAAAGGGCCGTCGCAAAGGTAGATTCCTTCACCCCCAAAGGAAACAGCAACAACAACAAAACAGAAAAAGAAAGCCAGAGAAGGATACCGGCATGCTGTAATTTCTCAATCGCCGCACACGAACAGCAACAAACTTAAAACAAACACTGCTGAAGCAAGAGAAGGCGGAGGGGGCTGCTGAAGAGGGTGAAAAAAAGGGCGTACGAGCGCTGACGGACCCTCCTCCATCCCGTGTGCGCTTTCCTCCCGCTGTTATCAGCGTCTGAATCGCCCAGCCTGCCGGGCTGTGGGGTCGCCTCCTGCCTCTATCGCTGCCGGTCGCGTGGCTTCTTTGTGTAGAGCAGCTGCTGCTCGATGCATGGGCAAACACTGCGGCTCGGCGCAGCGAGAGCCCCTCCGGTGTACCTGCTTCCAGTTCCCCAACTACAAACAAAGAAGAGGATTCTAACAACTTGAATACTCCCCCCCTTCCCCACACACCTCCTTTCTTCTCCTCCCTCCCCCCCCCGTGCTGTTTTTATTCTTACCTTCTCCCCCCCCTCCTACACACGCACACACAACCCCCCAGGACCGTCCCGGGGAGAGGTACGGGCTTGTCTTCCTTCTCGCCCAGCTCGGCTGCGCACCGCCGGACCGCGCGTGGATGTTAAACGAAACGGGAGAGCGGCGGCGGCTCCTCGCGATCGGGTTTCTGTCTTGATCGATTCCGCTTGAGCAACTTTGATCCGACGAAACCATGGATGTAAGGTTTTATCCGTCGGCGGGTGGGAACCCCATTCCCGGAGAACCGTCGAACCTGGATTTTCCCCACTGCCTGGGTTACTACAATTATAACAAGGTGAACTTTTTACATATATCTTTTTTTTTTAAACTTTTCATTCCTGTGCGCTGGTGCCCCACTTTTCTTTCAGACCCTGTTTTTGTTTTAACTTATTTGGAATCAGTATTTCCACAGAGTTAATGATTAAACAAAGTACTTCCACTAGAATTGCCGGCCCTGTCGCAGCTGTTACTAATATTGCTTGTTGTTGTTGTTGTTGTTATTATTATAATTCTTATTATTAAACTAAGCGGCACGTGTTCCAAAGTTTGGGCGTCGTTTCGCGTGTGGAAGTGTAGTTTGCTGGGAGGCTTTGGGCTGCTCTTGATTGTTCACCTCGATACAATGTTTGAGCCACGAGTTACAATGTTGGAGCTCCCGGCTGCTCGCAGGTGCACTTTGCGAGAGCGCTGTCCGGTAAATTGCGGGTTGGGCGGGGCGGGGAAGTTGGGTTCCGGTTTCTTTGTTTTTTTTTTTTTTTTCCTCCGATGGTTTGATTTTCTTTCCTTTGTCTCTCGGGATGGCATCGGAGCATTCGGGCTCAGATAGCCGCTTGGCTTAGTTTCTAAGAGAGAGGGGAGGACTAACCCGTACTGCACATCATCTTGTCTGAAAAGCGTCTCGGATGTAATGTTATGTACTGTCCGGTTTTCGATCTCTTTAATGTTTGGTTATGATCCTAGGGGGTGCCGACCCTGCATCGCCCGTGCAAAAGAAGCACAGAAGTTGTAGAAACTCTTTTCGAGTAGTGCTGCGGACCGTGCTTAAGCCCCGAAGCTGTGCGACTTCACAAGGTTACACACGTTTCACGTCCCTGCCCCCATCCACATCCACGTACAGGACACGGCGTCAAGAGGCTGGGGAACCGTGAACAAAGAACTGTCAGTTCGGGAGCCTTTCGTGCGGCCGGATAATGGCTGATGGGGTCGAAGGCTGTACCGTTCGTCTGGGGTTGGGAAAGCAGGGTGAAAACGAGCAAAATTTGGCGTCGAGTCACATGTTTAGGAGCAGATTATGCGAAGGAACTGCTCGACGTTGGGTCGGGGTTGAAGACCCTGCCGTTCGGATTCCCTCTTGGTTCCTCGGCTCTCCTCTGTAGTCCGAGGAAGTTTCAATCCAGTCTTCCTTCGCAGTTTCTAATGAGCCAAGATGTCTTGCGATGTGCCGGGCTCTTTGGAAACCCTTCCCAAGTTGTCAGTTGTTAAGCGTGAAACATTCAACCTTGCCTGTTTCTGCTCAGAGATGCGGGGCATTCACTCCCCACAAGGGCACCGGGATTGAAACGGTCTTGTTTTAGAAGGTGGCAGCTGCGCTACGCGGAACGCTTGCGTTTGGAACATTAAAACTCTCCAAATCTTCTGCGTCGTTCTGTGTTTTAGAGTCTGCGTTCGGGCGGACAACTTCTGAATAAGAACTCCGACGTGTTTCGAAAGGTGAAAAACAGGGGGGCGATAGTTTTAATAAACGGGCAATATTTAAAATGACAAAAGGTACAGTGAAAGCCCTGGTGTTTCTGAGGGGGACCCAGGCTACTCCAGCAAGAGCGCGTCCTGCCAAAACTTGTGAACTTTGGCGGTGCAGCCATGTTTAGCCGAAGCGGGTTTGAGCAAGTCGCGCCACTGAGCGTGTTAAGTGGACAGCTGCACGTCTGTTGCACTCTGTCGACATTTAGAAAGAAATAAAGTGTGCGAGCTTCTTGAAGCCTTTGCTCACGCCTTTTAATGGTACGGTGGTGGTTTCTGATTTTTTAATGCTGACTATTTTAACTTGTCACCCTATAATCGCCATTGTTCGCGCGATTTGTTCAGTTCCTAAGCATTGAATCACCGGCGATGGCAAACATATACGAGAACAATATTGTGTGTCGGCTAAAATACAAGGAGCAGTACGTAACACAACAAGACGTAATACATGTGTGGTTGTTTTATGTGACTTTTTGTATTTTGTTGTAGACGGCGTGGTTAAATGCCATTAAAATGGATGAGCCTAAAGTATCATTCTAGGAAATGCTGAGAGGTAATCCATTTTTTGTTGTAGGGCATGAATCATTTTTTTTTATTAGAATCAATATTGATCTAGGAAATGCCTTTCCATTATAATAAGCTTTGTCCCCAGATTATTAACAATTGCTTTTCCTTGTCGGAAGCAAAATGAATCCAGTTTGATTTTTTGGAATAGTGATGTATATTTAAATGCAAACCTGACCAGAGATTGGACTAAGCAAGACTAAGATTTCATAATTTATTGACGGTCACAACAAGGTCCCATTCAGTTCTGTAAATATAAAATAATTGGCTCGAGAGTGTGTAAAATAGAGGAGATAAATCTCATCAGGGCAATGGCCGAAGTCAGTCTCCTTTCAATTGCAGTCAGTATCACAGAGTGAACTTTGTAGTCGGGTTTGTTTCTTTGTGATCAGTTCTAATTTAGTTTGTCAGATTCTATTATGCAGGGTCTCCTATAAGGTGTAAGCCAATTTTTAAAATGCACGGAAAAAAACGTTTGAAATCCCAGATGTGCTTAAAGGATATTTGTGTCTGTGTTGTATGGGCTGTGAGAAAGTGGGTTTTACCGTTTGGTCAGAAGAAAGCTATTGAAATAGTCATAGCTTGTGGGATGTTCTTTTGAAGCACCTGGCCCAGAATATTGTGCCTGTCGTCATTTCCTGTGTCCTTTCATCCATGAGACGTGTGCAGGCAAGGGCTTTGGTTTTTTGGAGGCGACGGGTCAGAAGTCACAAGAGAGCTGGGCAGTCTTAGGAGGTGAATGTGAGGTCTACAGAGCCAGTGCATCGAGGGTTTGCCTGCTTGGGTGGCAAGATCAGAAAGGTGCAGAGGCGGCTGGATGAACGAACCATGACGGATCGCCCATGGGTGCACGTGCCATGTCAAACAGCGACCGGTGTCCAAACTGTAGGTCCATCTTTCTCACTCTGAACCTGGCCTGCATGCATTGCAGTTGACACGAGTGATTGATGCCATGGAAAGGAGAACACAAACTCCACACAATTCTCAGCCTCTGCAGGACAGAACCATGAACTAGAAGATGCACCGGCAGATTTTGATTTTGTGTGAGTGTGGGGGGGGCGGGGCGGGGCGGTACAAGAAGGTGATACACACTATCCTGAAGTGAATGGGTGCAGGCAGTGACACGCCTCCCCTGTGATTTAGGAGACTCGTTAGGATCTTTCAGGGTCTGGCCAGGTAAGGTTCACAGCTCAGCTTTTCAGATTGTGAGGCTGTTACTTCTACCAGTTGCCATATTTTTCACTGCAGCGAAACTCAATCTGTTCATTAAATCCCTTTCGAACTGTCATCTTCAGTGGGAAGATGCTGACGAGCATGTGAGTTTAACGGAGTTAACAGCATTGTGTTGGCAGGGAGTGTAATTAGCGAATCTCACCTTGGTGAACAGTGGTAGGTACAGTCTTCAAATTCATTCAACCTCGATTATTTAAAAGATACATTTTTAATAATGAGGGGCAATGTAGGGGTGGCATGGTGGTGCAGTGGTGAGCATCCTGGGGTCCTGGGTTCAATTCTGGACCTGGGGTGCTATCTGCTCTGTTTTCCTGCCGCAGTCCAAAGTAATACTGGTGGGTTAATTGGTTTCTGGGAAAGTTGGTGTAAGTGTGGCCGGGTGTGTCGGAGAGTTCCCCGCGATGGACTGGTGCCCCACCCAGGATGCATTCCACCTTGCACCTGTGGCTTTCTGGGTTAAGCTCCAGTTCCCCCTTGAATCTAAACTGGAAGTGGTTGGAATATGGGTGGGTGGGGGAAGGTATAACATCACCTATGGTGGGAGACTCCCCTGGAGAGCCCTGGTGTAGTACGTTGTGAGGTTCACCATAAATGTTCTAGTTTTTAGAGAAGTCATGGCCTTGAGGGTTAAAGAGTCTCTTCATGACTTAATTAAACAAATCGCCCGTGTAAGTGATCGCAGTCCCACTTCAGAACTGATGTTTTAATGGGTACTTATAAATCCTGCTGGATATTTGCTGTGCAGCAGCAAGTTTGGAGCTAATCTCATTTCTGGGACGAGCATGATCTTCCTCCAGTTGCTAATCTGCCTTTGTGCTAATTCTGATTTTGCGTTGTGTGGCTTGATCGGAAGGAAGGCTTGGCGGATCCTGGGCGTGTTGTCTCACTGTCTTGCCTTCTTGCTGAGGAAGAGGTCTTCTCACTGAGCTTTTGCTCTGCTGGAAGGAACCTTGTAAAGTCTGTTTTTGCTCAGTTTGTTTGAAAAATAGTTTTAAAAATTTGCTGATTTTTATGACCTCGAAATCTTCTCTGAAAAAAAAAAGGCAGACTTCAAATGTACCGATGCAGGAGACTGAAGAGTAGTTGTTAAACATCTCACCGTTCTGCCACTGTACAGGATAATCCCAGATGAACCTTTACAGAGTCGTAATTTGTTTGAAGAGTGAAACCAGCAAACCAGACAGGGTTTATAATTATATAAATGTGTGTGAAAAGTGGTGGGAAAATTTACATTTGCAACTGCCTGAAATTGGCTCTTTTGGGTAATTAAATTTGATTTTACGGAGAAAGAAAATGACTAGAATTGTTGAAACAGCATTTTGTCAAACCATCCTGTAATGGTTATATAGTGATTATATTATGAAACTTTATAAACACTCTTAATGTTGTTTCTGTGGTGTGTATTTTAATCTTGTAGAAGCAGACCATGGAATATCCCTGTATTTAATACTTAATCACCTGAATTGTGTCCAGGTGTATGACAGATTTGTCCCAGCAGGGTGTACCTTTTAATAAAGTGCTTTGATATGAATTTAAACACAAAGGAAACAGCACTCAAGGGCATTCCTGCAAGCTCCTTTGAGGTAATAATTGGCCGGCATTTAAAAATGATATGTGAAGGTCTACATTACATTTAATTCATAGGGGATAATGACTGTGCTTTTGATTTTATTGCAGGCTATATAGGATTATATAGAAAACACGTGCAGAATTAGTCATTGAATCTTAAAAACCAAATGCAGTTTTAAAGAGTTTAAT